AGATTAGAAAGTGCCAAGATGTATGACAATCAGGGGTCAGAAAGTGCCAGGATGTACAACCTTCGGAGGTCAGAAAGTGCCAGGATGTACAACCTTCAGGGGTCAGAAAGTGCCAGGATGTACAACCTTCAGGGGTCAGAAAGTGCCAGGATGTACAACCTTCAGGGGTCAGAAAGTGCCAGGATTTAAGACAATCAGGGCCAGAAAGTGCCAGGATGTATGACCTTCAGAGGTTAGAAAGTGTCAGGATGTATGACCTTCATGGGCCAGAAAGTGCCAGGATATATGACCTTCAGGGGTCAGAAAGTGCCAGGATGTATGACCTTCAGAGGTTAGAAAGTGCCAGGATATATGACCTTCAGGGGTCAGAAAGTGCCAGGATGTAAGATCTTCAGGGGTCAGAAAGTGCCAGGATGTAAGATCTTCAGGGGTCAGAAAGTGCCAGGATGTATGACCTTCAGAGGTCAGAAAGTTCCAGGATATATGGCCTTCAGAGGTGAGAAAGTGCCAGGATGTAAGACCTTCAGAGGTGAGAAAGTGCCAGGATGTAAGACCTTCAGCGGTCATAAAGTGCCAGGATGTAAGACCTTCAGAGATTGGAAAGTGCCAGGATGTAAGACCTTCAGAGGTCAGAAAGTGCCAGGATGTATGACAATCAGGGCCAGAAAGTGCCAGGATGTATGCCCTTCAAGGGTCAGGAAGTGCCATTTTGAAAAAATGCTGAAGCTTGTTCCATATGCTTTATTTGTTGGTAGACATTTTCATTGCTTAAACTGCTGCAAACACAGCAACAATAGCATGTCTGCCAAAATTTGCATATCAATAGAATGGAACGCAGAATTAACCAATCATTGGAAAGATTTCAAAACCTATACCAAAGTCTTAAATGAAGTGCTTACGACTGTCCTGGCAATTTTCGTAAAGTCTAGAAAAATATGTAATAGTAGCAGAACACCATGGCCTCGCTCTGACATTTGTGTGGTTTGAAACTCATTTTCGCTGATAATGATGCAGTGTACCCATGCTGTATTTTCACTCTCTTAACTTACCCTACAAATGTCAGGGCAATGCCATGGTGTTCTGTCATAGTTTTAAACAAACTTCGACATAGATGCTTGAAAGAAAAAAAATGGCGGCCACCAGTCAGGAGTGCTAAATAAATGCCAATTAAACATTTGTATATTTTTATGTGTCCAAAATCAAGACACATTTGTATATTTGTATGTGTCCAAAATTGAGACACATTTTCCACAAATCATGCATTATCATAGAGTCAAAAATGTTACACAATAGTTCAAAAACACGAGCATCATCTTGGAGAATAAATGAAAGAACATTCAAGGAACTGACTTTATTGATAATAGCTGCAGTTTGCTTTTTATCTGTTTTATACAAAGTAATCCTTTAATACATTGAATAAATGAATGTGTACTCACTTATACACAGGTAGCATGATTGGCAGGGGTCCTGATAAATGCGGTGCTATTGCTAGAAGGTTGGCTCGCTCATGCAGTGCTTCTTTCACCAGCTTATACTGTTACCATGGAAACACGACAAAAAGAGGATGTCAGACAAGATGCATTCATGTAAGGAGGAGCATGGTGTCAATACAACCCCCCGGGTGTCAAATATTACACAATCGTACAGAGGAAAGACAGTATTCCAAAAAAAAAAAAGATCCAGGCATGACATACTTTAATATCAATGAAGGTGATAAACTGCCTTAGGACGCTTCTCAACACGTGCAGTGAAAACAAAAAAAGATGCATACATCTACATGTATGTATACTACAAATACTAAACAAATTTTTGTAATCTTATTTCTAATAATCTGATGAATGCAATCATTTTTCCCACTCAAATTTTTATGTAAAATTTCACCAATTTTTAGATATTTTCCCATAATTCCTTTGTTAATGTATTTGAATTTTTTGTTCATTAGCAAAGCAAATTACATTTTCATTTTTTTCAGTCATTGTCAAATTTTGTCAACTTTTACGGAAAAAACAACAACATCAATATTTGATTAGCTAACAAATCTTTAAAACCATTGTCAACTTTGACACAATTATTTTTTATTCCAAAAATAACAAATAAAAATAGAAAAAATATTATTTTAACAATTGGCAGGGAAAACAAGCCATGCATAGCATAGTCCCCGTTAGTTATCAAATTTATGATATATAGTTTTGTTTATAGTAATATAGTTTGAATATAAACATGTCAGATATATGAATCCAGAAGCTGATGCTTGATTATGATGATTTTTTAACATTAAAATGATTGACATTCAGTCATCTTGTATCTGATCATCAAACGAGTACTTGTCCATATTGAGAGATATTGCTATGGAACGGCATTATTAATTAAAACAAAATGGTCACCGGTTGGCCATTTTTAATTGGATAGTTGGATAGTCAATCCGATATATCTGTATATCTCTGACATGATGTACAATGAATATATACAAGCAGCCTCTCGGCTGAGATAGCTCCGCTGTTAGCACTGCACATTTCAATTAAAGAACAGAAGATATCATTAGAAAATGAACAATATGTATAGTATGTATAGCAATCGGACTTGCTGTTTTCAACAAGAATTCAAAAATATCACTTTTTACCAAAAATTACATTAATATTCATCAAAATTAGATAATTGAAGATATCATCACGAAATGAACAAAGGTGAGAGAGGTCCACATGTAGTACCTATATATGTAATATCAAAGCAATCGGACTTGCAGTTTTTAACAAGAAGTCAAAAATATCACTTTTTACCAAAAATGGCAAAAATATTCACAAAAATTAGAGAATTGAAAATATCATCATGAAATGAACAAATTTGAGAGAGGTCCACATGTTGTACCTATATATGTAATATCAAAGCAATTGGAATTTTGGTTTTTAACAAGAAGTCGAAAATATCCCTTTTTACCAAAAATGGCAAAAATATTCACCAAAATTAGAGAATTGAAGATATCAACATGAAATGAACAAACCTAAGAGAGGTCTACCCAAGGTACATATACACCAAGTATCAAAGCATTCAGGCTTGTAGTTTTCAAGAAGAAGTCGAAAAAGTAAAACATTGACACGAACGACGACGAATATATTCAACTGTTTGAAGTGTTTTCATTTCTGTTTTTATGGTACGTCAACAAAGCACAATAAATATATTACACTCTGAAACTTATTACAACAAAAAGCTATCATAAAGCATCACTAGAAAATGCTTATTTGGAAGAAAATTGGACGGACAAAATTATCCTTAGGAAAAAAACATGCTTATCCTTTGAATTAATCTTACATGTTGAAAAATTATTTGTACAAATGATGAAAAAATTCATCCAACACTGCGTGTGATTGCTACAACTGAGATTATGTATTTAATTTATATAGACCTGGTGCTCAGAATTTCAAATCTGTTCAGGAAAAAAAAATATTGAATTTAATATTAATAACAGGTGTTTTAATTGAGGTGAGAAATTGGATTTAGCACTTGAAAAAGCTATTAATAAGAAAGTCTGAATTCATGATTGAAGCCAAACTGAGCTGCATTTCAAGAAGAACATGTGAAGTAGAAGGCAATTGAGTGGATACTGAATTTGATGAGTGAATGTCAAAAATATGATAAATTAATTGTATATTCACAGAAGCATCACAGGGCTATGTTAATAGGTATAGCTGACAGTTTTAGTGGCAATACTGATATGCAGTATGAATTCACTATTAAACATTTAAATCTAGTTTATAATATGAAAATTGGAACAGATAATGAAATATGTTCTAAAAGGGTATATTTAATCAAACAACTAGCACTGAAAACAATAGAACTTAGAATACCTTTGAAAAGAGGAATTTTTTCAATCGAAATGTACTTGCTATCATTCTAACACGCTGAATTTCCTCAAACTATGTCACCAGCATTGAACACATTCCTAGTAATTCACATTTAATTCAAACACTTCAAAAGACACAGCAATATAGAGAATAATAACAGGATTTATTTCTGGTCTTATAACAGTCATACATGTACAGACTGTGTAGAGTGCAAATATTTTCTTGATTTAATTTTCACTTATTTCGCTGACAACTGAATAAACACCAAGTGAAATAAACAATCTGTCACAATACAATTAATTTAATCCCTGGTGAAAATCTCTAAAATACTAAATCTCCTATAAACAAGTCATTGAAAATGATACAGTCCCCGTTAAGTTCTCTTTGTGCTCGTCATATTAAAGCGGAGGGGTTGTCGCGAGCGTGTCCTTGAAACTTGAGTTCCAAGTGGCATATACAACAGATTGTTTATTTACATCAAAACACTTGTTTCGTGTCATAGTAATATAGCCAAAATAAAAACAGCCGTTATTTAGCCATCTTTGATCTGATTATGAAACACACTGATATGTATGATGTATGTGCCAAATACGAATGAAAATGGTACATAAATTGTGGAAATATAGTAGTAAGGCCAAAAAGTCAGATGGCTGTCAATCGGCCATCCTTGACCAGATTTTGAAACAAATTGTCATGGACATGCATCCTAACATGTATAAAGTACATGTATGTGCCAAATTTGAATGAAAACTGACAGAGCACGTCCAAGATACCGCATAAAAAAACAAAAACAAGATGCCTGCCAGTCGACCATCTTTGATCCAATTGCGGAATAAATCGTCATGGACATGTATCCTAACATGTATAATCTATGTACCAAGTTTGAATGAAAACTGGCAAAGTATGTCCAAAATACAACATTTTCAAAAAACAAGATGGCTGCCAGTCGGCCATTTTAAATCGAATCGCTAAACCACTGCATGTGCATATGTCCCACATAAAGTACTAGGCACATGCAAAGAATGAACGGAATCGGTCCAAGAGATTCTGAGATATGACTCCGGACGGACGCACGGATGCACAGACGCACGACGCACGGACGCACAGACGCACGGACGCACAGACGCACGGACACACGGACGGACGGAGACCAAATTATAAGTCCCCGTTTTCGGACTTCGTCCGAACGGGGACTAATAAATGCAGAAAATATTTACAGTACTACCGGGAAAAGAAACAAAGTATGCTAATCAGGAAATTCATCAAAACAATTTGGGCCTCTAGGATGGAATTCAGGGGGAGCTTAGTTTAATAGTTTTGTTCAAGTGTAAAGATATAAAATTAGTGTTATTCAACCAAATATGAGCACATTTCATGGTCATGATAAAAGAAATGTTTATTCCAGTGACTACAGTGCTTGAACTTCATTAATCATAAAATTGTAACCTCTCTGAAAGTTTGACTATATAGTTTCCATCAATATCTTGAACACACATTTTTTTATAATTCAAAATGTCCACCTGGCTTTATTTATATGGCGTAACCATGTGTAATGGTTTATTTCTTTCAAGCACATGCATTCAATTTTGTTTAAATATGCATATACAATAAAAGCTTCAAGATGCTGTACATGACAGCATTACTACTAACGTTGCCTCAACAGATTCTCAGATCTCATGATTTTGTTTGTGAATCTGCTTGTTTATGGTTTATGGCAATTGGGTACTGAGAATTGGGGGGGGGGGGGGTCCAGTGGCAGAATACGAGTCAAGTGAAATGATTGTACATATGTATAGCTTTATTTCACATCACTGGATTTACGTGAACTTGGTGGAATTTTTAACCTTGTAAACTTGATTCCATAATTACCTGTTCATAGTCTAGTCCAAGGAATGCTTTCTGTAAATAACGAACTCCACCGTGGATTAATTTAGTACTCCTACTGCTGGTCCCTGATGCAAAGTCATCTTTATCCACTAAGGCAGTCTTCAAACCTGAAAATTAAAGTAAACCAAAAAATAAATTTGTTCAAGTCCCTCTAATACATGTTTGCAATGATAACATGACTGTAGAACATCAAGGGATGACATATTTGATGTTATCATCATCATTTGTTCACCTGATATGATAACATGACTGTAGAACATCAAGAGATGACATATTTGATGTTATCATCATCATTTGTTCACCTGATATGATATCTATTGTCACCTTGCAATGAATGTCACAGTAGTATTTTGAATTCAATTTGGAATATCACTTCCATAGGCGGTCATATGATATGATATGATATGATATATGATATGATATATGATATGATATGATATGATATGATATATATGCTATGATATGGTATGATATATGATATGATATGATATGATATATGATATGATATATGATATGATATGATATATGATATGAAAAAAATAATTATATATAGAATTAAACTTGTTCATGTATCAATTTTAAACATCAGATTTAAAGCTGATAGCAACCACTATTATCTATAAAGCTAAGTTCAGTCTACACACAACTATCTATTAAACATCATAGACACAAATCATATTTAATGATTTTTTTTTCTCTAAAACACAAACCAAGATTAAGTTAAAATCTGTTGATTCATCTGCATATTGTGTTTTGCTGCAAATTTTGTTTTCAGTCCTAACTCATATCCATTATCCCTACACAAGCCCCTACAGACAATTTTGAAAATTTCACCAGGCTATCCAGAAAACGTAATTACAGAGTACCTTCATTTTACTGTGATAGCAGTCAGTGTTCTCCACAAGGGGTTTTAGGTGGGCGGCCCGCCCATCAAGTTTTACGGCCGCCTAGTAACTCTCAACGCCCGCCCACCAACGTACATCCAGCTGAAATTATTTGTAAAAA